GGTGGTGCCCAGAGGAACAGAGCCTCACCTATGTTCCGCTGGTCCCCTCTGGTGAGTTTATAGATGGCCACCAGATCCCCTCTCAGTCTTCTCTTGTGAAGGCTGAATAGATTCAGGCCTTTCAGCCTCTCTTCGTAGGGCCTGGCCTGCTGCCCCCTGACTACGCGAGTGGCCCTCCTCTGGACCCTCTCAAGGTTAGCCACAACCCTCTTGAAGTGCAGTACCCAGAGCTAGACACAGTACTCTAACTGTGGCCTAACCAGCACCGCATAAAGGGGAAGGATCACCTCCCTGGACCTGCCTGTGCTGCATCTGTACAAGGTGCGTTTAGCCTTACTGACCGCTTCCTCACATTGGCGGCTCATGTCCATCCACATAGCAGGATGTGCTCAATGGCTTTGCCCACTACATGACAACTGCCCCCACTAAGACCAACAGTGGCCTGCACTTGGAAGTTTCTACAGCCTCAGTGTACCATCAGAATAGCTTTCATTTTCATCCTTACATTGGAAGGCTGGGACCAACAACACCAGAAAAGTGGCCTTCTCATCTTAAAAGTTCTGCAGCCAATGAAGATGTTCATCACAACACAATCCTATCACTTGGTGTTCATTTCTCAGGCCTCAGAAATAATACTACCACTCAGTGAATATTTGTAGCAACCTGCACTCTGTGTATTATTGACTCATTCTCTCAGAATTCCTGTGTAATCTTAATTGTGCCACCTATCACTATTGCAATTATGGTCATTTAAATGCTGTAAATGCAGAAGAACTGTGCAGCCTGTCTGTAAAACAGACACAAGAACTGTGGCAACTTGGCAGAGAGATAGAGGGGAAAAAAATACAAAGAACTGTAGAACTTTTACAAATGATAGGATGCAAAATATGGAACACGGAAAAGGGAATGATGGGACATTCGTCTTGGAGACCCATAATTCTCTAGTGGTGGCAAAAGCATCCCACAATTCATTGCAAAAGTGTTTCAGTACATGGTGTCAGAAGGCGGCAAGGGGAACACTTGCTGCTGGTCTGGGGTACATTCTAGCTTCAAGTAATACAACAGATGCAATGAAGTCATGCAGCACTAGTATAAGCCCCCAGGTACACATGTGCTTTGATAAAATGGAAATGCCAGCTGTTGTAAGCTAGCAGACCATATGATGGTAACCTTCCAGTATATACATAGCCTCAGAGAAAACAGTTCTTGCCCAATTTCCTTTCAAACAATAAAACTAGACATAAAGCAGACAAAGAATATAATTTAGATACATCAATGCTGGTTGAGTGAGCAATTGGAGGCTGATCTCAGAGCAGTTTCAGTGTTTGTAGATTTCTTGTTATGTTTTTAAGGCTATTTTTTCATGGTGGAGTAGTCTGAAATATGCTATGAAAATAGTAAAGAGGTTGTGATAGTTTGATTAATAAGGAAACAGAAACAGAGTTAAAAACCTAAGGAATACCACCTTTTCACCCTATCACAGCTTTTTAACATCTCACTGTTCAAAAGAGTTTTGGGTTTGTTGGCATTGTTTTGCTTTGTTATCTGTGAAAAGCATGGAACAGACCCTCAGCTGATGTAAACTGGCATCGCTCATTAACGTCAATGGAACCATAAAAATTTATACAAAGATAAGGATCTGGATATACATGTAAGAAGTACCACAATATTTAGCAAGCAGCTCAAACACAGCATGTTGTAGATCCTTGATCATTATTCTACAGCCCAATACAATGATTTTATAAAATATACTAGAGTCAGCAGCAGCACAAGCTACACTTCTTCAACACTGCTTGATAATCTCAAATTTGATCTCATGCAGGACTTCGTATTCATCATGCATCCACCTGCAGGCTAAAATGCTTGCCTATCCTACATCCTCGCATTGTTCTAATATGTAGGCTCAAAGTGCTTTCCAAAGTTAAAGAGAAGTCAAGCAAAATCACTCTTCCATTTGTTCTATTAACAAAAATGTAATTTTGATTGTATGCAAGTGGGTCTCCTGAGCATGAAAAGAACTTACTAAGGGAAAAGCTAAACGAAAAGATGAGTTTGCAGTTAGCTCCAAATGCACTGTGTCCTTGGTCATTCCCATCTCTTGTAGGATGGTCTTCCAAAATCCAAGTCCTCCTAAGGAAACTCTGTTCCCTATGCATTTGTGGACAGTTGATAGTTTCAGGGTACCACCAAAACATACCTGGGAAGTTACAGTAGTAGCTACACTCACGTAATTAGGGTCAATCCTGAAACAGGTTTTGAACATTAAGTCACAGATCTTGAATTGGCTTCTGTATTCAATACTGAGACCAAAATGGCACTGTGAAGTGCTCATAGAGGCTGTGTTACATTGCTTCATACTGCCTGCAGATTTTCCTTGATGTGCTGCTTCATACCTAAGTATAATGAACAAGTCCTCGGTTTTGTAAACTGGTGTGGCTCTACATTAACTTTAGTTGAATTATGGTGGTTTAGACAACTTGAATATCTGAGCCATTAATGGGTTGTAGTCACTGAGCCTGAAGCATAAATAAATACTGTGTCTTGTTTCGGTGCACAATGTTTAAAGTATAATCCCCCGCACCCCCAAGCCACCGAAACATGCAAGTTACCTTTGCACATAAATCTTTACAGTTTAGTCTGTGGATAAGGGACTCAAATATATGCAGATGACCTACAGCATTCGTCATGGGATGTAACCCTTGCGAACTTGTACCATGTGAATGTAGTTGCCACATCCTCAAAATGAGACCTGGGTAAGATGGTTCAGCAACATGCTACAGAGATCTCAGTGATGCACAAGGAAGAAGTTACTCTGCATGGGCTGTTCACTATATACTGTACAGAGAATTATATATACACATTTTTATATGCACAAGATGTAAAAGACAACTGATGAAAATTATGTTCTTTAGCTTCATAACTAGTATCTGTGGGGTTTTAGAACTAAGAACTGAAATGATACCCTTTAGGGTTAATACTACCCTATTTGGGTCTGTGTTGCAAATAATGTCCAACTAGATAGAAAACTGAGCACACTACACACAAGTGCACATGTGCATGTATGCACACACACACGTGTGTGCGCAAATGCGGTCTGTTAAAACTGTGTTGATGTCCAGCAAACCTTTCTACTCAGAAGCAGCAGTTTTCTCAAACTCAACTATATCAAAAACAGTAGGTACAGCAAGTCAAGTTCTTCAGCAAAATTAATGAAAAGATCATGTTTTCCAAAGAGAAAATTAAGCCTTTAAAAATAAAGTTCTCTTTTTGAAACAGTTTGCTTGCTAGCAAGTACATTTAGCTTAACCTAAGATTTACCTCCACTGCACATTGTACTCTCTGATCCTTCAGTAGGAACAGTAAAATCATGTCACACTTATGCTCTTGTTACAGACAGGTCTACATAAATTCTTTTTGACATCTGCATAATAAGGAAAACATCACTGGTTTACGAAGAATAGGCAAAAAATATGTGAAATCAGGGCTCATGAGTTACTCATCCAATATTACTGTACATTACATTTCTGCAGTTACATATAGCATAGATCTTTATTTCTTTGTCTCTTAACCTAATAACCCCATAAAATTACATTTTGGCTCTGTTCCTTTCCACAGTGACCACTGCCAGCAGAACAGCAATATACTGCTCAAATGCAAAATGAAAAACCTGTTTTAGATGAAAGCTACAAACAAAGCAAATATTTTCCAGGAAGTATAGCACAGACAGGCATTAAATCTGTAATAGCTGACACATTATTTAACATCTATAATGTAAAACGGTTTTTGTTTGTTTGTTTGGGGGGATTAGGGAAACTATCATGAAACCTTTCCTGAAAAATGAAATGTCATTCCTAAGGGAGTTCTTTTTGAAATTATTACATTCATGTTACTAGACATGCAAACCTTTGAGTTTGACAAAGAATGACATGCTACAGAATAGCAACATACAGGTGATTAAAAGCAATCGTAGGATAGATGATAGTATTCATATTTTTGGATCATCAATAAAAAATGCATAGTGCTCTCAAGTACTTGACACTAATCTCCACTTGTCATATGAATGAAGCACTGAACACTAAGGAAAATAAAGTTAAGAAAGGAGATATTTAGGTTATATATTAGAAATACAATTTTAACATGACCAGATATTGTCATGAGCCACCAAGTGAAGTAATTGAAAGCTTTAAGTATCATATGATTTAAAGGCTAGAACAGATAAGTATCTGGAGATTTAACATTTCTTGCTGTGCCTACCAACAAGGGGAATAGATCAGATGGACCAAAAGATCTTTTCCATTTATATTTCCTATGCTTGTAACGTTCGGTCCATATCTTCCTGGCAACCAGTATTTAATTTTCATTATCTCTTTTATCCTCAGCTTTTTGTTGCATTGTTCTAAGTCCTAGTAGGGAATATTGCCCTGCATGATGGGGGTGACTGAATGGAGGTCTGTTAGAAAAGAAGGTCTGTAAAGGTCATGGAAGTAGCATATAGAGCCCTTGTTTCTTTCTTAAAGAAACATCTAAACCAGACAGAAATTCTTCTTCCAAAAAGTAAACTATCCCCCCCTCCCTGACCCCAATGATTGCCTCATGTTCATACATATTTTTCATCTAAGGATCTCAAAATGCCTTACAAACATCAGTGAAGTAACTCGCACATTACTACTGTGAATCAGCTATTACATCCTTTTAAGCAGATGCAGAAGGTGAAACATCCAACTGTTAGCTGACTTGCCCAAGGTCACAAAGGCAATGTGTGGCAGGCATCGATCCCTTCCCTCCCAACCCTGAACCTTCACCAGCAAAACCCCTATTTCCTCACAAATTCATGATTTATCTCCCACATGCTCCTTGCCAAGAAATTAAGGAACAGGGATGTTCTAAATTATAAAGTACTAATGTTGGTGAAAGAGTGGATGAAAAGACATACCATTATTCCTAGTGTCATCATTTGGTTAAAAAAAAAAATCCCTGCATTTCCAAAACAATTATCTGACCTTCTTTAAGGATGAACTCACGTTCTCAGTACCCAGGCAGATTTCCAAATGTTAAGTCAACCTCTCAGTTCCTCACGTGCTGTTTGAAACAAACATCAGCACAGGCCAATTGTTGCACGGGCTTGAGAGAACTTCAAGCTGTTGAACAGCGACCAGGATTATGAATGCGGCACCGGCATTACTACCGCCCTGCTATGATCCTGTTTTATTCTCACTGAGCGCAGCAATCCGATGGCTCTCCCAATGTCCTAAAACACTAGAGGGCAACCGTGTCACGCCAGGAAAAAAAAAAAAAAGGGGGAAGGAAAAAAGAAAAT